TTCATGTACAGGTCAATATTATTTGTAGAACATAAATAATTTAAATAATTTGTCAATGCAAATGGTAAAAGAACATTTGTAATATAAATATTTCCATTACAAATGAATATACATCATTATCTAAAGTAATCCCAGTTGACATCATGCAACCTGTTCTCTCCTCTCCACTGTTATGGTTGTACGACTCACCTGTGTGCCATTCATTGCTTTTGTGGTTGTACGACTCGCCTGTGTGAACCTCGCTGCTGTCGTGGTTGCTGAACTCTACAGTGACAGGCCCAATGCTGCTGCTGCTGTTGTGCAGAATTATTGGGTATTCATGCAGGAGGTACGTCTGCTTAATGTTTAGTGTGTTCCAAAATGCCCGAACCTGTTACAATTGTATACTGTTAATTCCAAGTGTAAATACTCATCATATAAAATGGTTTCCCATTGATGGTGGCTGGAAACACGTCAGCCTTATAGAAGTTACCCTTAAGCCAATGACCAATCATTTCCAGGCTGTAACCCACAATGGCTGCCTGATTTCAAGAAATCCATTTAATGCTAGGTGAAGAAAGACCAGAAGCATATGGAAATGTGTCCTGCTTTTGTCAGTTATAAGCCGACTATTCCGACCTCTGCGCTACAGTTCTAGTGGGGAAAAACTAATATTTTTTAGCACAGTTACATGTAGCAGTGTGGTTCTATCATAAATGTGTTGAATACCATTACCTAGTACTGTATTAAAAAGTTCTCTCTTATTTGCCATTCATTTAGAAGATATTGAAGACTAATTTGGTCACCAACCTATATAGTCATAATGGCTGGATGCTTTTCCCCTGATAATTCCCTTCCTTTCCCAATCTTCTCACACTGAAATATTGAGGCATGTTTCTTCACACCAACCAGTATGATGTTAAGCAGTCTCCGTAGCAAAGTTGTAACACACTCACCTAGCGTTTCGCAAGCGCTTTGGCCTGGGTTTGTATCCTGGCCGGGGAGGATTTACTGGGCACTAATCCTTAACTGTAGCCTCTGTTCACCCAGCAGAGAGAATGGATACCCGATTGTTAAAAAATTTGGCAGGGTCGTATTCCGGGAAAAATTAGGGGTTAAGGACTTGTCCAAAATGTTATGTGAGCTAGTTATCTTGAGGTTATCTTGAGGTTATCTTGAGGAAATAGTGGCTGTAAAAGAATGTAAGAACTCTTGTATATATGTATTAATACAAAATTATCTCCCAACAGGAAACAGGAGTACAGTATAAGATTTGGGTAACAGTTGCAGGTTACTTCCGGGGGAAAAAAGACAATCGCTAACTAGGCATTTTTCGATGAACGTAGCGAGCTGGCTTGCTGTCCCCAACAATGGTTAACTATATGCACCTAGAAAAACTCGCCAGGATGAAATGACAATTTTTAAATGCTTCACCAGTTAACAGCTTAATATCAGATTCTCTGACAATTAAGACGACTTGTTATATTGTATCTGAAACTAGAAAATATATCTTGAAACATTTAGGAAGCAAACACAATAATTAAAATTAAAGCAGTTAATAGCTAGGATGACCTACTTCTAATTGGCTATTAGGATGACATGTTTCAAATTTATAATTAGTGGCACCTAATTTTATTTGTTAATTGTGACCAATTTCTAAAGTTAGAAAAAAGTTATTTCCTAATGTTAAATTTTTTTATTATCTTCAATAAAGTTCAGTTAATACACCTATAGTGAAATTCAATCAATGCACCTAGTTAAATTCAATAATACACCTAATTGAATTTACTGAGAACAAAGCAACATCAATGTTTTCCGGGACAGTTCTTATTGGTGGCTCCACGGTGCTAGCTACTTAAGCTGAACCAATTCAATCGCAGTGACTTAAAATAAGTGTTCTGGGAATCCAATTTGTCCTCAAGCTAGGCTCATTAAAGCAAAGGCCAACTCCCAAGACACATTCATCAGTTTAATGTACAGTACTGTGTATAAAAAACAGTTTTATTCATAAATTAATATTATATATTCTATGTATAATTAGACATTGCTTAGGTAAAGTTGTTAGGTTCTGTTGGCAATTATTTGCATTTGAAGTACAGTATGTGGGTGAAGCATTTATGGAGTTGTGATTCAGAGGTTGCCCGGTAAAACACACTTCAAGAAATGTTCGATCATCGGTTGCAAGTTGTGTGTAAACCATTTTTCATTCATAAACTGGGTAAGGCAGCTGGGTTTAGCACTTCCTCATAAACAAAGGCCAAAGTCCATTCCATGCAGCTGCCAAACCCGCTGTCTATGAATGAAAAACGGTTTACGTACGACTCACAACTGATGATGTCCGAACACCGGAACAAGTGCTTCGCTGATGACTTGTTCGAACCACAACTCTGAAAATGCTTCACCCACATACTTCAAATACAAATAATTAAAAACAGAATCTAAACATCTAACCTAACCTAACCAATGCCTAAATATGCACAGTATGCTAATATGTAACAATATTAATACACATTTGAGAAAATTCATATTTTGAATGAACAACCTGTTAAAATTGATGAATGTCTTTGGGGTTGACCACTGGATGGAATGGACTTGGTCAGAGGACAGGTTGCTGGGTTAATGAGAATTTGGCCTTTGTTGATGAAGACAAGCTGTGGGGGGGAACCAGAGACCAAAACCTAGCATCCCCTCTAAAAAGGTGCAAGGAGCAGGATCCCCTGCTCACTGAATGAACCAAAACAAACAATCGGCAAGGTAAACTCAGAAAACGAGACAACGAATCCCCAAAATGAATGAACCACTACATCGTGAAGTAATTATCTCTTTAGTTCCATCTGAGCACCACCAGGTGACTGAGTGTCTTCCCGTTTGATCCCCAAACCTTGGTCATTTTGCCTGGTGGAAATATCTATGGCATCGCAGTTACACTCTTCTTCTTGCCTCAGCATCCTTAGAGTCCAGTTTTTCAGTTAAGTGTTGGCCATCATGATCACTGTTTTTCTCCTACAGGAGCCATCTGCTCGTGTACTTAAAGCCCGTCCTCAGTTATGTTCATTACATGAACATGAACAACCGACCCCAAAAGATGCATTCATCAATTTTAACATGTTCATTCAAAATATGAATTTTGTAAAATATAAATTACTGTAATATTATATATTAACTTATTGTGCACATTTAGGCATAGAATAGGTGTTTAGGTTCTGTTAGCAAACTGGGGGGGGGACCATTGACAAGCTGCTGGCCTCCTGTTCTTGACGAGGCCACTAGATACAGTAATTGCCTCTGGGAAATTTGTATTAGTACTACATAAGTGAAGCATTTACAGAGTTGCTATTCGAACTGAGGTTGTCAGCAAAGCACCGATCAACAAATGTTCGAACATCGGCAGTTTTCAGTCATGTTTTAAACCATTTTTCATTACATGCAACTGCCAAACCCTGTTTATAAATTACTTTTGTTCTTTGTTGAAGTGGATGGGCTGGTGAACTAATGAGAATTGCTTCACAACCACAGGTGGTTCATTCTTTTTGGAAGTCTCTTTCCTTGCTGTGTTTACCTTGCTTTTTATTTTAGATTACCCACTTTTCTGGTGGCCTTTTTCTTTTTTTATAGGTGATCTAGGATCTGCTGCTTGTGCCTCTTCAGAGTGGGGCCAAGTTTTTTCCTCTGGTCCTTGGCAGGCTTACAATGATGCACAAGGGACTGGTAATTATTACCTAAGTAATTACTTAAGTGTAGTTACAAGATGAGAGCTACGCTCGTGGTGTTCCGTCTTCCCAACAGATTGTATGTATTGGTGTAGATTGAATTGTGTGGTGCTCTCCAGTAGCCAGCACACAGGATCCACCAAGGACTTACTGGTAAAAGGTGGTCAACATTGGTCTTTTCACATACCTTTAATCACTTACATTAGATAAAGATCAAAGATCATTATGAATGGTAGAATTTGGGTGTTTATTTTCCAATTGCACGTTCATATTTTGATCCAAATCTTTTCTCTGTTCCTGAAATCTATTTTCTGGCTGGAGCAGCATATTCTGCTTAATTGGCAGCGATTTCCAAAAGGCATGTACCTGTTATATATAAATACAGTAGAATAATCTCGAAAATAAGCTCTGATTTTGAACATGATTTTGAAATTAGATTTCACCTGAAATGCAGTGAGAGTATGTGATTGCATTCAGATGTGATTACAGCAATCCGTGCAAGTAGTTATAAAGTGTTAAATTTTAACATTTCTGTATTTGCTTTTAACTGATACATTGTCCTTATTAAGCCTATGAGACCAGACCTGGAGAATGTGTGCAAAACAGTGATGTGAGAGGAGTGTTTATTTTTCACAACTGCCAAATTAACAATGAATGCATCTTTGACCTTGCAGCAAAATGATGAGAAGGACCTTGGAGTCGGAATCCATCACTCGCTGAAAGTTGCAGAAACTGCTGCACCAGCAGTAAAAAAATAAAAAAAAGCTAACCAAACACTAGGAATAATCAAGCGGCTGTTTAATTTTAAAGAAAAAAAGGTAATTCTATTTTTTTTTGTATTTATATATACAAGAGTTGTTACATTCTTGTGCAGCCACTAGTACACATAGCATTTTGGGCAAGTCCTTAATCCAAATTTTCCACAGACTACAACCCCACCAAATCATTTAACAACCAGGTTCCCATTCACTGCTGGGTAAACAGAGGCGACAGTTAAGGATTGGTACCCAGTAAATCCTCCCCAGCCAGGATACGAACCCAGGACAAAGCACTCGCAAAACGCCAGGCCAGTGGAAATGTCTTGCCATTACACCACAGGGACTGCTGAACTAAATTGAATAGACTTACTCCAAAGATTTACACAGTTGAATTGTCCCTCTCTTGGATTATTGTATCCAAGCATGGAGACCTCATTTTCAGAAAGACACAGCTTCTTTGGAGAAAGTTAAACACTGAGCAACTTCAATCATTCTAGAACTAAGTCAACTTCAAAACAGAAACGGTCGAAGGCCACAAGGCTAACAACACTGCAAACTAGACACGACAGGGCGGATCTCATTGAAACTTTAAAGATACTGAACAATTTAGAGGATGTTAATCCAGACAATTTCTAAAGGTCAGATGTAACATAACAAGGAGCAGTAGTTTTAAACTCAAGCCACAATGTAGGACTGAAACACGATATGTTTTTTATCCATAGGGGTTTAGACCCGTGGAACAGCCTATCTACCGAAGCCATAAATACCAAAATCCTGTTGAATTTTAAAATACAGCTTGAAAAAATTGTCAGGACAAAGGGAGGGGGGAAGGGGGACCTTTGACAAACCACCGGCTTCCTGTCCTCATTGAGGCCAGTAGTGTGTTAGTGGCCTTCACTGTAAATTCAGGTTAAAAGAAAAGGGAACATAATGACAGTATAAACAATCATTGTTAGGATAGAATATGAGTAAATGACATATAGTGGAGAAAGTTAAATGCAGTGAAGTGCTTTTATGAAGTGCATGTGTAAGAGGTAATAGTGATAAGAGTAAATGTTTAGATATTAATGAAGCAAGTATATATCAGCATTGCTCAACTCAAAATTGGGAATTTCAGTTTGAATCCCAAGTGGGATAGAAATGGTATGGCACATTTTTGATCACATAATGCGTCTGTTCACCCAGGAGTTAGTTAAATTATGTCGAGTTGCATACTGAGGAGGGTAAGTAGTTTAACCCTTAGACAGCAGATAGGAAAAAATGGTTATACCTGCCTATGCACAAAAACAAAACCCCCCAAAAATAATTGTTCATTATAGAATTATTAATTTGTATACAAAATGTAAGAAAACAGGAAAATAAGTGAACATTATTTAACTGGGTGGAGGTGCTCTGCAAGGCTGCCTGCGTCTAGCACTTGGTAACCAACTTTGCTGACACTTCCTGTTTTATCCTCGGATGTTTCATGGATTTTGTTTTATCACGTCTTGTTCTTCATTTACATGACCTGAGAGCTTTTATATCCATATTTGCATCATACATGTAAAACCAAGACAATAATTGGTCAAATCATTTTTTGATTTAAACAAAACATTATCCCTATGTGGACCATGATCCCTAGGGCACTACAGGAGCCCATAGTCCTTTAGGGATTGTCAATAGACAATAATCGCAGCCTAAGGGTTAATTTTGGGAGAACCTCGATATAAAAGTCTTTATAGGTACTTTGAGTGTATTTACAGGATTAACAATAATTGTGTGTGAGTGTAATTACAGGATTAACAATAATTGTGTGTGTGTGTGTGTATTTATATATAAAAGTTAATTTTGTGTGACAGGAATCATTGTAGAACAGACGTATCAAAAGTGATGTATGGAGATGCCGTTCTAGTGGCATAAAAATGTAAGTGTGCAGATAAAATGAAACCGTGTCTGGGGAATAATGTAGAAGATATCGTGACAGTAGACCTGTAAGTCTATCTTTGAGCATCTTTAACCTCATATCCCTACAATACTATTTTGCTTTTGACTGTTACATCCACAACAATGAAAATGGGCAACTGATAATGAAGATAGTGATGATTGCTAGTAAGGTGAAACTAAGTTTAAAGTAGTCTGCAGAAGCTGAGCTAATAAACTCCAATGCTACATTAACACTAAATGTTATCCTTGTTTTAATTTTTGAGGAAAAACTTTGCATTGAGCCTTACCTCTTGTCTGTGGTCAGCCTTCATGGAAGGTGTTGGTGTGAGGGACAAGTGGTGGAGGTTGTCGGCAACGGCTGGCTCCCACGTGAAGCCCAGAGAGTCATCAGGTGTTGGATTTCTGCCATAAGACATTGATGAGGTGGTAAGTAGCCTCCCCTTTCTTTATTTATACCCCTTTCCTGCATGAAAGGGGTATAATTTTGTCCAATACTAGCACAACCCTTTAACCCTCAGCTGCATGTTGTTATTCCTCAACCCCTTCCACTACACGTCCTGGCTGGAGAAGTGGTGACTAATTACTATATCAGCAAATTATATCCCAGCTGGGGTCTTGTTAAGGTGGGGTCTTATTAAGCGCCTGACAGCTGGGTGGACAGCGCTTCGGATTCGTAGTCCTGAGGTTCTGGGTTCGATTCCCAGTGGAGGTGGAGACAAATGGGCAAAATGTTTCTTTCTCCCTGATGCCCCTGTTATCTAGCAGTAAATAGGTACCTGGGAGTTAGACAGCTGCTACGGGCTGCTACTTGGGGGTGGAGGACTGGGCTGCGGGGACACTAAGTCTCGAAGTCATCTCAAGATAAGGTACAGCACAAGTTTAAAACTCCCGTGGGTACACGGCTCACATCGGCTTAATCAGGCCTCCAGTAAACAGACACCATTTTGAAATAAAACTGTGGATTCTGTTACTGGATGTGAAGGCCTTGGTATTGAGTGAACAACCACCATGGCTGGCATATGCAGCCCGAGCTGACAGCACTGCTGTTCAGCTTCTGTCCACAGCATCGCTTAAAAATGATAAATATAAATAACTGCGATTATTTTGCAATGGTTTCATAGAAGATCCTGACTGTGATATAGGCTATGTACAGTGTTTAGATATCGGTGAACACAATGCTGTTTTTGATGTTAACAGCATGAGGCAGGCACCCATAGTAGTAACATTGTCTGGTGCATCTAAACATCTTGAAATAATAACTCACGTTCCTTTACAAAATAAACTTATGGAAAATTATTCATTTTAAGGATTAGTGACCAGGATTCTGATAATAGCAGCATTGTGCCTGGAATTTGGGATGTGCATAGTATGTTGGGAGGAGGACTTTTGTCAAGTGAGGTAGCGTTGTCAGCTGATTAGTGTGTGGTGGCGCTGTTGTAATTGGCTGCACTCTCCAGCCAGGATGCACAGTGGAAGGGTTAAAAAAAAAATTGTAATTCAAACTTGGCAATATTAAAAATAAAGCTAAATAAAATCTAATTGACACAGTGTATGCATATGCAAGTTTAAAAATATAACCTGTACACTGTTAGTCACCACAAGTATTGAGGTGACTTATATTTTAAACCAATGGTGGTGGTTCGTCACCACTACAAGTGACCCCAACGCCTGACAAAGCCATGGACCAGTGCCTTGGGGTCACTTCCATCTCTTAAACTTACCCAGTGGCTGCAAAATTGGTCCACATCCTGACCATTATCTCTCTTAACCTCAGGTCGTCCTCATTCTCTAGTGGCTTCCAGAGTGTGTTCTCCCCAGTGAACAGATAGAACAGGTCATCCACGTGATCCACCCCTGAAGAACGGACATGAAAGGTCATTCGCCTGAGGAACAGTCTATCTGTCCCAGCACCACCTCCCTGACCTTACTCCCCCCCCCCCCCCCCCCCCTCACTGTCACCTCCCTGACCTAACCCACCCCCCCTTCACCATCACCCATCTAATCTCTTAACCAACCATGTATAATATTTAAATACTATACAATACTCATCATTTTTCCCTTTAATATACACTACTTTCATGTACTCCTGTTAGACTTGCGTGCAAAATGTTACCTACCAATAAAAATCTCTCTTCTCTGTGTATGCTTTACCACTATTCTCATGTCTTTATTTAGCTGAAGCTCACCCTCTACTATGTCTTGTGGCCTTGAAGAGGGACAGGAAGACAGTAGTTTGTGAAAGGTCCCCAACATTGTAAGCCAAATTAAACTAGTTTATTCTGAGACAGATTAAGTCTAAAGAGAGCATTATTGAACTTATTGGTTAAACTGTACTTGCAATTTATGACCCTGTGATCAGATATAGCTAAAAGGAAAATCTCTGAAGGCAGGGATACTCACAGTGTTGACCAATGTTGGTATTATAATAATCACCAAATGAACGCTGCCCTCTGTGGTTGAGTTCATACAGGAATATCTTCTTTTGACGACCCACGTTCTTGGCGTAGACGATGGCTGTAAGGTCGTGAGCTATGTTGAAGTGTCGGTCACCATACATCTGAGCGAGAGAAGAGAAATGGTGTAATTATTGAAAAGGTGACAAGTTGGGGAGACTACATAGAACCTTTGTTGGATATTGAAAATGCACTAAATATTACTTAGGATGCCAATACAAAAACAAAAGGACATTAGGCCAACGACATCAAAGGTTTCACCAACAATTCGATCAATGGACATCAGGAAAGCAAGATACAAAGTTGTCCTTACAGATTGTAGATTTGACTACCTTGTAGATTGATATTTTACAAAGAAGCGCATGACTGTAAATGTGACAATGCAGGAGTAGGGGAGTATTCCATAAAGTACCTGTGAGTTAAATGTGTGGGGCCAATACATAACTTAGCCAGGGCTGCTTCATATCATCTATTATGATGGTAGGAGGAAGACCAAGGGAATAAGTCACCTGTAACACTAGACCAAAGAGTGTGCCAATGGTCAAAGATTGAAGAGTGAATGACTTGGTAGAAATCTGAATAAGGAATTCCTTGAGAAATAGGAAGTATGAATGACCACCTTAGCAGGGTTGCCTGCACGTTTATTTAAGGTAACAAATATAATTTCGTAACAATTCATTGTGTCAAGGGACAGGCAGCCAGTTTATACATACAGAGCATGTTAGGCTTATGTTGAGGTCCTCCCCCCCCCCCCAAGAGATGAATTACTGACCCCAGGATGTAACCTCACAACAAGCCGACTAATTCCTGGGTACCTATTTGCTGCGAGGTGAACTGGAGCATAAGGTGATAGGAAACGTGCCCGAACATTTGTCCCGACTGGGATTCAAACCGGGAATTCTCCGGAAGACATTGCAATAGATATTAACCACATGCTCTCTGCACTTTAATACATTCACACAACTTTATTAAAGATTAAATCAGAAAATGATGTATTACACGGTTCATAATTTCTATTTGAATATCATTAACAGATCTTTAATAGAAAACATCAAAACCCATCCTAACCTTGCAGATATTGTCAGCATCTTCCAAACCAGCTTTAATGCCTCCAACATAGTAGTCGAAGATGGTCTTTGAGACCTCCAGAGGCATGTTGTCCTCTAAGATGTCAAGTGAAGCTGGGCCAAACTTGGTAAAGTTGCCGAGAAGGTCCGTCTGGAGAGCCTCATTTGAATAAAGTGCTGCAAAACGTGTAGATACTACAGAAATATTTTTTTTTATCTAATTAAAATAAAATGGTTAGGATCATTACATGATAAACACAGAAAAGACAGTCTGATATGTTATCTTGAGACATTAAAAGGGGCTTGAAAGTGCAAGTAAGGCACTTGCTAGAGAAGTCTTCAGACTGTCTTGGTTGCAAGGGTTGAGAATTACCACAAGTATAATGTACAAGATGTGGCAGAGCTGAGTATTGTCCCTGCATACACATGCATTACCATGTACAAGGTGTGGTAGGGTTAAGCATTATCACAGGTACTGTATACAAGGTGTATCAGGGTTGAGCATTACCACAAGCACCATATACAAGTAATTATCAAAAAGAAAGCACAAAGCCGGGAAGGTTACGTAGCACCATCAAATGGATGGAATAATCAGAGGCGCTAAGTATCACTAAGGCTGCCAATACGAGAACAGAAACGCACGAAGCGAATGACAAAGGTATCCGATTCACCAAGAACACTATCGAGGGCCAAGTAACCGCGAGGGACGATCAGAAAGCGAGACACGCTCGTCCTGGAAGTCGAGACAATCGAGAAGGATATGCTCGACTGCATGAGGGGACAATGCAGTTTGGACAATAGCAGTGGGGGGTTATGGGGCCCCCAGTGGAGGGTTATGGGGCCCCCAGTGGAGGGTTATGGGGCCCCCAGTGGAGGGTTATGGAGCCCCCAGTGGAGGGTTATGGGGCCCCAGTGGAGGGTTATGGGGCCCCAGTGGAGGGTTATGGGGCCCCAGTGGAGGGTTATGGGGCCCCAGTGGAGGGTTATGGGGCCCCAGTGGAGGGTTATGGGGCCCCAGTGGAGGGTTATGGGGCCCCAGTGGAGGGTTATGGGGCCCCAGTGGTGGGTTATGGGGCCCCAGTGGAGGGTTATGGGGCCCCAGTGGAGGGTTATGGGGCCCCAGTGGAGGGTTAGGGTTTTGAGCCGAATTCTGATTCTCTGCACCTATTTTCAGTTTCAAATTACAACTTTTCATACCGAAAATATGCCAATTACTGAAAACGGCGATGGGTCATATTTTGGCCAAACCCCCCTGCAGTTTTCAAAATGTCTGAAATGTCGGGAATTTGACTCCTGAGCGTGATTTTTGAGCCGAATTCTGACTCTCTGCACCTATTTTCAGTTTCAAATTACGACGTTTCATACCGAAAATATGCCAATTACTGAAAACGGCGATGGGTCATATTTTGCCCAAACCCCCCTGCAGTTTTTAAAATGTCTGAAATGTCGGAAATTTGACTCCTGAGCGTGATTTTTGAGCCGAATTCTGACTCTCTGCATCTATTTTCAGTTTCAAATTACGACGTTTCATACCGAAAATATGCCAATTACTGTAAACGGCGATGGGTCATATTTTGCCCAAACCCCCCTGCAGTTTTCAAAATGTCTGAAATGTCGGAAATTTGACTCCTGAGCGTGATTTTTGAGCCGAATTCTGACTCTCTGCACCTATTTTCAGTTTCAAATTACGACGTTTCATACCGAAAATATGCCAATTACTGAAAACGGCGATGGGTCATATATTGCCCAAACCCCCCTGCAGTTTTCAAAATATCCCAAACATCCCAAGTTCGATACCTGAGCCATATTTTGGACCCAAAATCTGGCTCTCTGCACCTATTCGCAGTTTGAAATTCCGACTTTTTATACCAAAAATATGCCAATTACTGAAAGCGGCGGTGGGTCACATTTTGCCCAAACCCCCCTGCAGTTTTCAAAATATCCCAAACATCCCACATTCGATTCCTGAGCCATATTTTGGACCCAAATTCTGGCTCTCTGCACCTATTCGCGGTTTGAAATTCCGACTTTATATTCCAAAAATATGCCAATTACTGAAAGCAGCGGTGGGTCACATTTTGCCCAAACCCCCCTGCAGTTTTCAAAATATCCCAAACATCCCAAATTCGATACCTGAGCCATACTTTAACCCTCCAGTGGAGCCCCATAACCCTCCAATGGAGCCCCATAACCCTCCATTGGGGCCCCATAACCCTCCACTGGGGCCCCATAACCCTCCAATAGGCCCCATAACCCTCCACTGGGGCCCCATAACCCTCCACTGGGGCCCCATAACCCTCCAGTAGGCCCCATAACCCTCCATTGGGGCCCCATAACCCTCCACTGGGGCCCCATAACCCTCCACAGGGGCCTCATAACCCTCCACTGGGGCCCCATAACCCTCCACTGGGGCCCCATAACCCTCCACTGGGGCCCCATAACCCTCCACTGGGGCCCCATAACCCTCCACTGGGGCCCCATAACCCTCCACTGGGGCCCTATAACCCTCCACTGGGGCCCCATAACCCTCCACTGGGGCCCCATAACCCTCCACTGGGGCCCCATAACCCTCCATAACCAACTGGAGGGTTATGGGGCCCCAGTGGAGGGTTATGGGGGCCCCAGTTGAACGTTATGGGTGGCTGTGCCGGCTGTGTGGTACTGTACTGTACTGTGGGGTACTGTATTGGTTATTTGATTGGCTAATTGACAATGTACTGATTGTAAAGACTTGGGAACGCATTTTGTGAGCTGCGTGTTTGGCGTGTCTGTGGTATAATCACAGAGACTGCTCATGTTGAATAGTTAGTGTAAACATCTATAACCTCAATGTATGATTAATTTATATTAGTTCTACTTCTAATTCTCTATTTATCATTTTAACTTTGTGTCATAAATTGTGCCGAAATATAATATACTTCAATTTGGTTTGTACTGCTGTGAGGCGTCGCCAGTGACGAAGATACGGAACGCAAACAATGCACTCTACTGCGAGTTGGCTAAGATACTTACGGAACGCAAACACTCCACCCTCGTGCGAGTTAACCAAGATACTTATGGAACGCAAACACTCCACCCTCGTGAGAGTTGATTAAGATACTTACGGAACGCAAACACTCCACCCTCGTTGAGTTAACCAAGATACTTATGGAACGCAAACACTCCACCCTCGTGAGAGTTGATTAAGATACTTACGGAACACAAACAATCCACCCTCGTGTGAGTTGATTAAGATACTTACGGAACACAAACACTCCACCCTCGTGAGAGTTAACCAAGATACTTACGGAACGCAAACACTCCACCCTCGTGAGAGTTGATTAAGATACTTACGGAACGCAAATACTCCACCCTCGTGCGAGTTTACCAAGATACTTACGGAACGCAAACACTCCACTCTCGTGAGAGTTGATTAAGATACTTACGGAACGCAAACACTCCACCCTCGTGAGAGTTGATTAAGATACTTACGGAACGCAAACACTCCACCCTCGTGAGAGTTAACCAAGATACTTACGGAACGCAAACACTCCACCCTCGTGAGAGTTGATTAAGATACTTACGGAACGCAAACACTCCACCCTCGTGAGAGTTGATTAAGATACTTACGGAACGCAAACAATCCACCCTCGTGAGAGTTAACCAAGATACTTACGGAACGCAAACACTCCACCCTCGTGAGAGTTGATTAAGATACTTACGGAACGCAAACACTCCACCCTCGTGTGAGTTAACTAAGATACTTACGGAACGCAAACAATCCACCCTCGTGCGAATTTACACCCGAGATGATGTCAACAACCTTGTGTTTGCCCTGGACCATCAGTAACTCGGGTTCCGAGGGAATGAAGTCTCCATCTACTCGGGGACCCAGAAGAAGAGGGCTGAAGTTGAACTCCTGTTAATAAAATATATAAATTGACAATGCTCAACAAAATTACAAACGTTGAATTCAAATCCCAATTTGAAATATTTATATATATATATATATATATAGTATGGAAACCATACCATATTAACGCAACCAAATGTAATGAAACCTAACCTTAATTACCTCTTGTTACCTCAATTACCTTCATATCATTAAACTATGGAGAAGATAATAGCTCTAATTACATATAGTGATTTTGAAGTGATTACCTCCAGGGTACCTCTTCCCTAAGGACAGGTTGTAAATGCACATTACCGAGGTGGGAGACTTGGTTGCCAGAGGTAGATTGGTTGCCAGGGTAGATTGGTTGCCAGAGTAATTTGGTTGCTAACAAGTTAGGTATTCATGTACGTTTACAGCAAGAAATATATGTATAAATTGCACTAAAGTAATCTTAATATATTTTTGAGTTAAAATAACTTACATTAAGTCACACAAGTCACTGGCCATCTCAAGATTTCCCTTCATTAATGGCAGGAAGAATGTGAAGCTTATCCAGCTCCCTTAACACCTGATTATTGTCATATTCCCTTGCATGCAGCCCCTCAACAGTTGCCTAATTTCAAGGTATCGAACCCAAGACTAATTAAGGTCGCGAGCCGACTACGCTAAACACTACCTCTTAGATGCCTTTCTTAAACTCGGGAACATGCACTAAAATAAATTGTGAATCTAACCAATTTCGAAATGCACTAGCTTGCAAGATACTATCTAAATAAAGCAATTTGCACAAAAGTAAACAAGTTCTTCCTGCCAATTAAACACTTTCCCGCAGTATCGAAGTATTTAAAATTACTTACAACGTGATGCATCAAAGAAAGAGTCAAGTTTTCCACGTTGACGCCCTGGAGACAGGAAAGGAGAACGCTGCTGGCATGATCACTCGAAGTGCCGTGGGGTTGCGGACACCCGAAGAGCTCTCCTGTGTATCGGGCCACTTCGCTGAAGGATCCTCCCATCGCCCAAGGGCAAAACAGCGTCCCGGACTGCATGATACCTCGGGCAAACAGTCCTGAGGGTTTTAAAAATACAAGTTTCACATTCTTATAAAGGTTATGATATAGTTCATACGGATGAATACGGTGAGGATAACTGTGTGCTAACTAGAATACATTAGTAATACAATAACACATTAGAATACAATAATTCCGAGTTAGTGATTTATTGCTATTGAGCCACTCTCTCTATGAGGCAGCCGAGCGGACAGCACGCTGGACTTGTGATCCTGTGGTCCTGGGTTCGATCCCAGGCGCCGGCGAGAAACAATGGGCAGAGTTTCTTTCACCCTATGCCCCTGTTACCTAGCAGTAAAATAGGTACCTGGGTGTTAGTCAGCTGTCACGGGCTGCTTCCTGGGGGTGGAGGCCTGGTCGGGGACTGGGCCGCGGGGACAATAAAGCCCCGAAATCATCTCAAGATAACCTCAAGAAGATGGTTGTTACAATTTATGGTCTGTACAGTAATTACATAAATTTTTGAAATAATTTCATATTAAGATTGAAACCTATTTTTTTTTCAAGTTACACATGAAAATATTGTATTATTATTGTTGTGAATAATAATAATAATAATTTTTATTTAGGCAAAGGTACATACATAAAGAGATTTTACAAAGTTTGTTGGCTTTATAGATAGGAGCTAGTACATACAATGCCTAAAGCCACTATTACGCAAAGCGTTTCTGGCAGGAAAGATAAGACTAAGACTAAGACGAATAAGACTAAGAGGCTGCTCACCTTCAGAGTGTGGAGATAAGATGTGGAAATGCACAGAAGAGCCTCCAGCACTCTCTCCAAATAGAGTTACTCTCTTGGGGTCACCACCAAAATTATGGATATTTCTTTGTATCCACTTAAGAGCCATTGTTTGATCCTTCAGACCAAAGTTTCCAGGGATGACAGAATCTTCTGTTGACAGAAAACCTGAAAAAACAGCGTTGATTGTAGTTAAACTTGTGATTCCACTTTTTCCTAATTCACACCAAACACGATTCATCACCTTAATACATTTTTGGAGTGATGACAAAACAGTATAGACCAACCCGTTCTCGCACTTTCGTATAGTCAATATTGACTTATTAAATACGTGCATATGTGACATACTAATTTATTGTGAATAGTTTACTTTGAAAAGCTTCATAGAAAACACCGACCTTACCTAACCTTCTTAGTATGTTAAGATAAGCATCTTATTGCTTCGTAATTACAATTATTACTTAACCCATTATAGGTATAGGTTAAGTAACAATTGTAATTACGAAGCAATAAGATGCTTATCCTAACATACTAAGAAGGTTAGGTAAGGTCGGTGTTTTCTATGAAGCTTTTCAAGGTAAACGGAAATATTCACAATAAATTAGTATATCACATATGCACTTTTTAACAAGTCAATATTGACTGTAAGAAAGTACGAGAACGGGTTGTATAGACACATATCCATCTTATCTTGAGGTTATCTTGAGATGATTTCGGGGCTTTAGTGTCCCCGCGGCCCGGTCCTTGACCAGGCCTCCACCCCCAGGAAGCAGCCCGTGACAGCTGACTAACACCCAGGTACCTATTTTACTGCTAGGTAACAGGGGCATAGAGTGAAAGAAACTCTGCCCATTGTTTCTCGCCGGCGCCTGGGATCGAACCCAGGACCACAGGATCACAAGTCCCGCGTGCTGTCCGCTCGGCCGACCGGCTCCATCGTGTAAATCCTTTTTTACAAATTCTATTATGTATACCTCCAAAACCATAAGTATTTCGCACTGCACTGTACACAACCTTTATAAAACACCCTGTAGAATATCAATTCAATGCAGTCGTTTAAACAACAGGACTGGTTGATCAGTCCGGCAACCAGGAGGCCTGGTCGACGACCGGGCCGCGGGGACGCTAAGCCCCGGAAGCACCTCAAGGTAACAACAAAATAGTTTCAGAAAGCAAGATTTAGTCCAGTCTTCAAACTGGGATTTACACTTGCCTAGAATGCCCAGGCGGTACTGGACAAGAACTAAGACAATGTCTTCATTGAGGAGGACATATGGGGTGTAATTCCTTATGCCCCCAGCATAGTAGGCACCCCCATGGAAGAACACCATTACTGGCAGCTGGGCATTAGGTTCACCAGGCTGCAAAACAAGGCACAAGTTCAAGCATGAGGTTGGCCAGACCACACACTAGAAAGTGTAAGGACGACGACGTTTCGGTCCGTCCTGGACCATTCTCAAGTCGACAATCAACTTGAGAATGGCCCAGGACGGACCGAAACGTCGTCGTCGTCCCTTCACCTTCTAGTGTGTGGTCTGGTCAACATATTTCAGTCACTTTATTGTAACTCATCGTCTTCAAGTATGTGTATTGAGACAAGAAAATACATCTCAAAGGGATAGAGTAGCTTAGGCTATTTCTACCCTCCCGAGGCACAACTTCCTTACGGCTCAACTGACTACCAAAGACAATGAAACTGGGTTTCCAATCTGAGTTTATATTTACAATCCCAATTTACCTGCATTTATATATACAATCCCAATTTATCTGCCCGAAACGCTGCGCGTACTAGTGGCTTTACAAGATTGTAATTACCGCATTATGTATCCTCACAATCCCAATGTACATTCTTGTATATGCATAAATAAATAAATAAATAAAATAAATTTGACTTCCATTTCGAATTGTCACTGGCCAAGCTTGAAGTCTTTCTTAATGTGTAGAATGAACACACAGAGACAACTAGTGATGATATAACAACATTTATGTACATCTTCAACTAATATACAATTATCCTTAAACTACTATTTCAATGTTTATTTACAAGACTTGTAAAAGGGTGCAAAATATAATTTAATATTTTCCAATTATAAGTAATCCACTTAAAACTACTTTTTAAAGTTACCATGAAATAGTAGAACACAGTTTGTTAATAATGAAAAACTTAATGATAAATTGTTTCATCAGGAATGAAAAATATTGCAAGAGTCATCACACGATATTATTTACACGAAGCTAGTTTAATAAATCTAATATTTCCATAAGTTAATATATATTACTAGAGGGGGTACCTGGCGGTGCCCGGATAGTCTGTCTCTCCCACAGACTATCTTCTCCTTTCTCACTTCTCTCCGTTCTCTGGCAACAGAGAGCACGTCTCTTTATCCAACCTTGGAGGACATACTATTCTATTACGCGCAGCTCCAAAACTATAAATATTTCAAACTGCGCACAAACTTTATAAACTACTCTTACGGCACGTCTCATCCAACTTTGCAGGAGGGCATGGAATGAGCACAAGTTGGGCGGGGTCAGTGCCATGGTCATATTAAGAGGGGGATAATACCCAATAATAAGTCACGCAAACTCTGTGAAAGGTGGCTGGCGCAGTCCCTAGATTTCTCCACATAACAGCACATTAAAAAATATTGGAGGAGGAATAATATTCTGCGATTCAAAGTCTGCTCTTCAAGCAATCGAAAACTTCTCTTGGAAGATCGACAGCAAGAACCTAATACTCCCAATTATAAATGACCTAATTGATGCACAGAGTAAAGGGTCTCGAATCTCCTTTGTATGGATACCCTCACACATAAATATAACCCATCATAATGAGACAGACATTGCAGCCAAACTAGCGTGTAACAAGTTTGAAGTTGAATTAGATCTAGGTATCCCCATCTCTGCTGTCAAAACTGTATTGGTCCAAACATTCAGATCTGATAGGAAAGAACTTACTGACTCCCAACGACCTGAAAGTACTAGTATAAAAAGCTATGATTTGTTCAGATCTGAAACCTACATCTATGGACAGCACAAAACGTCCACTAGACTGTGCGACACAGTGGTTGCAAGGATCAGGTTGGGTTACCGTTACCTGTGGCAGGTGGCTGCAGGTGACGGGTCTCCCAATCCTGAGCACTCCAGTTGCAAACTCTGTGAGCAGGAACTATGGCATGATCTCCCGCACTACATCACTGAATGCCCAGTTATTAGACCTTTCAGACCAGTTGGCATGAGGTACCTGGAGCTTTGCAATTACTTTATTCACTCTCGTATTCTTGAAGATATCCTCACAGTATACCCAAAATTTGCCAGTGCAGGCTATTAAACACATGGCCCTGTATGACTAACCATCCTGCGAGATGGGGACTTGTATTACCACTGCTACCTTATTCACTCTTGTGTTGTTGATATCCTCAAAATGCATCCGGAGTCTGCCAGTGCAGACCGCCTATCACATGTCTCTGTATGACTAACCATCCTGTGTGATGGGGATTTTTTAGCATCACCTAGTTAGCTTTTTTTTTGACACACTGTACTCCACTTCATATAGTCTAGGGCAGCTGCACTAATGCAGATGTACCTCATAACTTAATAAAAAAAAAAAAAAAAAAAAATGCGTTACTTTTTTTGACACTGTACTCCACTTCATATAGTCTAAGGTAGCTGCACTAATGCAGATGTACCTAATGTATTAATAAAAAAAATGCGTTAAACAGATGGGAAAGAAAGGGAGAAAAGAGGGGAGAGGGGAAAAAAAGAGGTGGAATTAGGGAAGATTGGACTGAAGAGAAAGGGGGGAGAGAGAGAGGGAGCTATGAGAGAGGAGGATGAAGGAGGGAGGAGAAATGACAGAAGGGGAGAGTGAAGAGTAGTAGGAGAGAGACTATTCCGACCACTGCCTAGCACCCTAGCACACCTCCTAGTAGTGTACGTGTATCATTTAACTAGTAATAACCCCCCATGGCCCACTGACCTTCCTTCTACAGCAGCATGCCGCTATACAACATCAACCTTACAACACACTAGAACATCCCGAGAACCACCTCAGTGGTGAAGATCAGCTCTCCCCTAGAGCCCAACCTCTAGCTGTAGCCTCTAACCTTGGCGGTGAAGATGCTGAGATAGAGACAATCTTCCTTTCCATCATACACAGGTTTCCGGTTCGTAAGGGCCATGTAGGGGATCTGTGAACACAGAGGCGGCACCACTGACCCGTCCCTCACTCCCGACCAACTCCCGGCGGCCTCTGGGTCCTGCACAGGAAAAATAAAGGTTTATTTTAGGTAATGAGATGCATGAAATTTCTTGGTACGTGATATAATTAGCAGTTGGACTCTTGGCTTTCACAAGCTGGTGACTTATGAAAGGTCAGATGGTGTTTTTAATGGTCAATCATGCCCATTTTCATGGCCACGGGCATTTTATGACCGTGTTAAAGAAGGTCATTTATAAGACATACTCAAATGTGTTATCTTACCTTGAGACGAAGATTTCCTATTGGGGGTTTAGCGTAAGGTATGGAATGGAAGGAGTACAAAGGTTTGCCTTTAGTGGACAGTTCCATAAAGCCAGATATTCTGCCATTGAGTGTGTTGACGACGGGTCTCTCGTCTCCCGCGGCCCCAGTAGCCGTCACCACCAGGAGCACCGCGCGCGCCGTCAAGGCCACCAAGGTGCGTCTCATCCTGTCTCCTGAAATTACAAAAATTTTATATTATTTTGGTGGCGCTAACTTCAGTCCCTCCGTCCGGCCTCCTAGGGTTTCCCCAGCGTCAAGAAACTGACGTACTAAAGTGCCCTTTTCCTAATCTACCAGAGAACCCAAAACTGAAAACGGGACAGTATGCCTTAAGTATATGTCAAAATGCGACGTCCTGTTAGAACAGATTATTTTATGACGCCTCTTTTGTCACGAGAAAGAAAACGGAGTTCTTGAGGAGATCTTCATTTCTGGTTTCCTGAATTTACCTCAGGGCCACTAATACTCTACTGGCCTCTATGAGGACAGGAAGCCGGCGGCTTTTCAAAGGTGCGCCCATTTGTGGTGATGATTTTTTCAAGCTGGATTTTAAAGTTCAGCTAAGTTTTGGCATTCACCGCTTCGGCGGGTAGGCGGTTCCATGGGTTTATAACCCTGTGGGTGAAAAGCATCTCCTGTTCTCAGTCCTACATTGTGGCTTGTTGAGCTTGAAACCGTTTACTCCTTGTCTGACCTTTTGAGGAAATTGTCTGCAACATCAGGATCTGCGAGTTGGTACAAGAATTCAACCAACTACGAACCACTTAGTTTGATGAAAGGGAGCAGTAGAGCAACAGAAGTACACTTACATCGCATCAGGCTTGGATACCCATGTGCATGGGAAATAGGTTTACAGGTTCCGGAAGATGAGAGGAAATGTCAGCACTGTGGAGAAATGCCCGACAGACCACTGGAACATTATCTAACACAGTGCACAGTTACAACCACAACAGACCACTGGAACATTATCTAACACAGTGCACAGTTACAACCACAACAGACCACTGGAACATTATCTAACACAGTGCACAGTTACAACCACAACAGACCACTGGAACATTATCTAACACAGTGCACAGTTACAACCACAACAGACCACTGGAACATTATCTAACACAATGCACAGCTACAAACCCATTAAGATTTCAACTTTGATTCAACAGAGCAGAAGTTGATAAACACATATGGCAAAATCTTACTGAAGCGACCATACGAGTCATAAATACTCACACTCCGCCTATGTAAAACAGAAACAAGTAACACTTAGTGGGCCAGCCAGAGGCTTAGGGCCCGCGCAGTGGGCCAGCCAGAGGCTTAGGGCCCGCGCAGGAATATCCCTGTCAAAAAAAAAGCATAAAACCAAATTTGAAAAATGAATTGATTGAGCCGCAAAAACATTAGCGCCAGAGCTCAAGGGATTAAGCAACGAAGATAGGTTAAAGGAACTGAACCTCAAAACCTTATAAAAGAGAAGTAACGGGAGGATATGATCACAGTATACAAGATACTAAGGCGGGAAAAGCAGAGTGGAAAAGAAGAGGGTCTTTAAATTGCGAGGACTTATGAGGAGAAGACAAAAAAGTACAGTACACGAAACTAAAGGAAAACCCCAGTACGGTGGTGCATGATAAGCAAGTCAGGCCCATATGTAACCAGCTCTCCGCATATACAAATTGCTTAGGTTTGAGTGTGTTGTGGTCCAGTTTTCTTGAACCCATTATGCTATGATATACTGGTGAGCCTAGTACTCAGGCTAGGCTCCTCCAGGTGGCGGCCCGAATCCCCACACATTCGTCAATTTTAACGCACTGCGTATATGAAATTTGTATTTTCTGACATATAAGGTAATATACTAGAATGTGTTGAATAGTTAGGGCCTAACTTGGGTAAGGTGAGGTAGGTAGGGTCCGATGGTAATTATTGGCATTTACAGTACGTGGCTTAAGTATTTCCTACAGATGGGATTCGAACAGAGGCCATGAACGAAGCACCGATCGAGAAACGTACACACGTCATCAACTGAGTCGTGTGATTAAAGTGTTTTTCATTCATATGGGGAAGTGCCTGTATTAACGAACATTTGCTAACGAGGCTCCGTTGCAACAAATGCTGCTTTCACGTATTGTAAATACTAATATAATCAACAGATACAACGACAACAAACAGACTGGAGATCGGCGAGGCAGTGCGCATAAAGCAAGTTCACCCAACCCATGAAAAGCCTCAGTTACACACTGCTTCCAGACAAAGGCCGAACATCCCGCATATTCCGAAGTCATTACTGGGATACACGAGATGGGAGAGCTACAGTAAGCGTACTGGCTCATGTGCTTTCTATTCTATAACACGCGAAAGACTGATTAATGAGATGGAAGCTCATGCTATTGTGCCAGTTTCCTTAAGTTGGATAAGGACATGGCTAAGTTTGAGGAAATAGTTAATATAAAAGGAGTTAAGTCAAGAGTGGGAAACATTTGTAAGTCGAATGTCCCAATGCTCTGTTCTGGGACCTCTGTTCTTCACCATATATATAAACAATTTAGATATGGGATTGATCAGCAATAATTTGTAGATTTACGGACGATAAAAAGTATTGAAAATATTTTCAGGAAAAAAGATTCAAAATCGCTTAAAGACATCTAGATAGGCTTTTAAATTGCACGAAAGATTGGCAGATACAGATTAATGCTAACAAATATATGGCTCTGAGGCTAATTAATGATAAGATATCCGCAGGATAGTGTTGAAACTGCAATCAAAATACGAAAAATCAGTGCATAAGTGTTCAGAATAAAGCAATAGGCTACTGGCATTTATTTCTGGAATCTTTATCAATAAAACAAGTAATATTCTTCAGCTCTTGTTAGGCCTCTATTTACATTCTGCAGTTAAATTTTGGTCGCCATACTTGATAATGAACATATATTCATGTGAAGGAGCTTAGAGAAGGATAAAGTTAATCACAGGAATGAGAACAGTTTCATACGTATAAACTGGCTAAGTTTAGCTTCGGGTAAATGTTGGTTTGAAAGTCGGGTTTTCTGACCTATGGGGAAAAAAAACGGTAAAATAACAAACGTGCCTTGTATGGGCCAATGGTTCTTCCGCAGAGTCCTTAATCTAGGACAAATTTAAAAAATGTCGGCGAATATTTAGCTATCACGCAGTAAATATGAAAATTAAATCACATGAATACAGAGATTCAGTTACCACTTACGTGTGATTAATGGCAATATGGATAATACTTCTGGCTCTACCAGGGAGAGACTATATACACCACAGGTCTTGTAGCTCTATGGAACAGAGACAACCGAGCCCCGTGGAAGCCGGCACTCTTCTGAAGATGGGAAGGAGACCAAAGGGCCCGATACCTGGAAGCTTGAGGCAGACGAGGCTAGACAATAGGCTATGCCCTAACAGGCACCGCTCACCCACCCATCCCACTCTCTCATTGTTATTCTATTAGACTCAGCAACTCTGATCAACAGTTGCAAGTCCACAATGGTTAGCGCGTAGTAGACTTCGTCCCCTTCTCTCTGTCTCTCTCCCTTTACCAAAACACAAAAGGTGGGCAGGACAGAGTTCCAAGTGGACTGAATTTACTTGGAACTCTGCCTATTATGAGGAGCACGACTGGGAACGTTGATCGTTTTGGTCCATGCAGAGGAGCTACTAGTCGCCATTGTAAATTTAACAGAAAAGTCTGGCGTGGAGATCACTTCAAGCACCACACAAAAGTGCCCTTGGACGTAGTGTTATGGGAAGTATTATCCTATTATCAACACATTCCTCGTCTACTATTAACAGAGGTGGTCTTTCCGATTCCAGTTCTATCTAGCTTATTCTTGCCCAGTAATAATTAGATTTAGGAATTCCGATCAGGACACGTGGCTAGCCATCCAACAGGGTAAATATTGTTTAACTCTTACATAATAAATTGTCAATATCTCCCCTGATATATGTCATATTTAGGTTACTGCTATATTATCGTGCATGCCCTTTGACAGGTGAAACTGAAGGGGGAAGAAGAATTACTAATTACCTAGCAACTAGTACATGCGGAGCAGTCAGCCTCACCCACAAGGGCAGTAATGACGGGCGTGAATGCCAGTCAAAAAAAAAAAATAAAGAAAAAAAAAAGTTAAACTGAAAAAGGTGTATTCACAGTGTGATAAACTGTAGGATAAAGCAGAGGGAAAAAACATTTAAAAATACCTTGATAAAAATATGAATTTAAACAAATTACAAAAAATATCCAGGCTTGGCTTTAATACAAAATGTGCAAAACAAGATGAACAATCAAATTTACGTTACGTTAAAGTGTTAAATAAAATATGGTGCAGAATACTATGAGCTAGTCTGACTAAATCCGTTACCACACCGAGAGAGTCAACGGGTCTACTCAGTTGAGCACACAGGAGTAATCGGAATCTTAGAGAGCTTGGTAGCCCTATTTATACAGAATATCGGCCGAGCAGATGGCGCTGATGTCTTCTTTAAACTATGAACCGGCTCACTTGAAGTGCTTGTTTGGGCCCAGCGACCCAGGTGCGAGGTGGGGGGTGACGGGCCCTGGTGCAAAGGGGAGACTGGTAGACTGTCTAGACGTCTGGAAGGAGTTGTTGTTCTTGGCTGCAGTTCTTTATTACATAGACGTGAATGAGTAGAATAGTCGATAATGGAGTAGACCAAATCTCTTCCTAGAGATTTTACCGTGACAGTACTAATTATCATAAAATGTAATTGTCAAAGAAAAAAAAACCCAGCAATCATGTATTTATCAATTTAAGAAGTTAAAACACTTAGTTCTCACAAAATAGAACCAGTGTGAAGTTTCACAATAGTTTCCACAAAGTTGGGCCAGGTTCACGAAGCAGTTACCCAAGTACGTACGAACGTGTACATCTTTCTTCGATCTTTGACGGCTTTGGTTACATTTATTAAACATTTTACAAGCATGAAAACTTGCCAATCCCCTATTGTTATTGTTATAAACCAACCCGTCCTCGACTCAAGTCCATTACATCCAGCGGTCAATCCCACAGACGCATTCATAAATTTTAACATGCTGTTCATTCAAAACGGGAATTTTCTCAAGTATAAATTAATATTATAATATAATCAGCAAGCATAAGAAATATTGCCGGAACAACCGTGGACATTTTCAAGAGGA